TGGGTTGGAAGAAGCCCGTCCGAAGTGAACCCTAAGATGAGTTGTTTAATCAATTGCTCAAACATGACAAGACGGCGGTTGAAATTTGAAACCTTCAGACTTATGTCATGTTCCAATGAACTTTCCTTTGGATTACAACCCCCGGTTTCCCCAACAAGCGTGTCTGTTATGACCTTGGGGTCATTATTTGGGGAAACTGCTTCAAACTTCTCCCTGGAGCCCCAAGACCCTAAACAAGGCGTTTGATCCCCAAAAGCCTCAAATAAGGCGTTGGATGGGCTCTGGGCCAGAAGGTATGACTTCGGCATCCCGGCGCGGCTGCGGCGCCTGGGCTCCGGGGAGCGGCGGTACCAGATCTCGGGCCCTGAAGCGGTGCGTTTGCGGGCGGCTCCGCAGGCGGATGCGCCGCTGCAAGGACGGGTTCAGTGGAATACCCCGAGTTTCTAGGCTGGTTTTTGGTTGGACGGAGCGCAAAGCAGGGGTTGTCTGTTTCAACACAAAGCAACGAACAAAGGAAGGGTAACTTATTGGAAGGCCAGTTTTAACGGTGAACAGAATGTTTGGACTTTCTTTTGGCCAATCCGCGCACGGAACTGGTGGGGGCTTGTTCTTTTTCAACCCCCAACCTGTTGTTTGGCCCATAAACCGAAAGGCAACATGTAGGCGAAAACAGCCTGGAGTTTGAGCGACATTCCTTTTCAGGCGGGTGATGTTAAAGCGGGACATGTATAGGGTGAAGGTCGCTGGAGTTGTTGTAAAACATCGATCCCGAATCCTTGTGCCAGATAGTAGGTGTTTCCCGTAGCAGTGTTCCACTAGAAATTGTGGATTGGGATTATGGATCCCACATTCTGAACAACCTTTATCCTTCCAAAAATCATGCAAGCTGACGGGAAGGTGTGGGGAGACTCCTTTTGTAGAAGCTCGCTGTCCACATCCATGATTGCTGATGATGGTGAATCTTTGCACCCTTGATGAGAGCCGAGATTAATAATCCCCTGGTTCATCAATAGTGGTGTACCGTTTAACCTTTACCTTTTCTCATTCATGGACCAGCTTGATCAATCTCGGGTGAACGTGAACGCTTCAGTTGGGTGCAGGTACCTGGCACGCTCGCCCCCCCATTTGGGTTCCATCATCCTTTCTGACCGACACAAAGGAATTGTGCAATCTACTTTAACCCAGCTGTAAATGGACAAACTAGAAATAGTCACGCGCACTCCACACACCACACACCGCACACCACACACCACACACCACACCACACACCACACACACACACACAAAGACGCACGCACGCACACACCCACACACACACACATTTCTGGAAAGTACAATGCAAATATATATATATATATGTTCTTTCTCATATAGTCATTTTGTTGCCCATGGCCGCCGGGGCTAGTGGTTTTGTGGGCCGACGTTTGCTTCCCCACACCCCTACCTGTAGGCGGCTTGGCAACTGTATGGTAATGTTTCCAAAGGAACTAACTCCAAAGAGCTGATTCCATGGTGGTATTCTTAACTTGTGCACTCAGAAGGGGGTCCTTGACTTTCTGAGTTGTTTGAGATTGAACAACTTCTTTGTAGACATCCTCAGGGCTTAGGTTTCAATTCTTGAGGCATAAATTTGTTTGGGAAGTGTGGTCGTTCGGAGCAGCTTTGGCTTTGTCCAACACCTACAATATAATATGGTTTGTGGAGGCTAATCTGCTTCCTACCTCTTTCTTCGGAAGCGAAAGGAAACTGCAAAGTTGGTTTGCGCCTCGCATGTTAGGACAGCCCCCATTATTTCGACGGTGGAGTTGGCTACTGTAAGGGGCTAGTAGTATTATGTTCCAGTCAAGCCCCCAATTGTGGACTTCTTATCTAGAGCCACTGACTGCCAGTTGAAAGAAGAGGAATCTATTTTTTACAGGCATGTGGTCTAACCGCTCCCTTCGCCTTTTTCGCTTGGATCTGGTTTTACATGGTTGCTGATATTGCTCTTCAGGTATCACCACACCACAGAAAGCTATGTTAACATGTGTCCAGCAAGTGATTTTCAGAACGGAAGTACTCCAGCCTGAAAATTAGATGGCGCAAATACCCTTTGCTTGCACAGTTAAAGGAGATGACTAAGCCAACATTCGTTGGAATTGTGTTTTCTTCTTGGACTTTAGTTGCCCAGCCACCCTTTTTTGTCAGTGACCCTAGTAAGAAAAGGGGACCTTTTTTGGAGTTGACCCTTTTTCGATGCCCAAAAAGGTGGAAAGAAGCAAGGGGGAATTCCGCTGCAGAGCGAGTTTTGACCAAGGGAGCAATCTAGTCGGTGGCCAACATGGCTGGTCTTTGGTGTGGCCCCTTAGACTCACAATTTTGGGACAAATGTTTTATTCAACAGGTTACACCTTTTGCTTGGGGAAGAGCAAGCCAGATGCTCGCCAGGATATTTGGCCCCTTTGGAGGTGTTCACAGCCGATCCGGAGGGCTCGGCCCTTCGCGCCTCGGATGGATGTCATGGCGGCCAGTGGGGCCTGCGGAGGCCGTGGAGTTCGTTGTTTCTGGTTGCGCGGGAGTATTCGTTGCTTGCTCCTTTTCCTTGTCTTGCCTGGCAGACTGGCTGACTGGCTGGCTGGCTGGCTTACTTGCTTGCTTGCTTGGCTGTTTGGCTAGCACGCTTGTTTGCCGATTGCCTCGGTGTCTTGGTTTCCGGTTTTTTATTATTTGTTAGTGGTCTAGGAAAATGTACTGATAAGAGATCGGAGTTTCAAAGGATGCCAGCTGCCAGATTTAAATGCAGTCCTTTCACGGCCTTGGCTACGGGCTTCGTTGTTTTGTTGTATTCCGCAGGGCTGTGTTACCTTTGGTCTAGGTGTACCCTGCCCCATTCTCTTTAGGGATTCTCCTCACGAGAAATGAGCCGATCCCTTGTGAAAATGGGTTTTCAAAGAGAGGGATGGGTGCAGAGAATGGCCCACTTGCCCAGATTCGGTCATGTGGTCAAGGTTCCAACAGGCCAACCTGGCAAACGTTTGATTTCCAGATCCCTTGGGCAAGTGAGGCAGGGGCATGTCTCGAGGCCTCAAGGAGGGCAGGGGCTACCTGGTGCCCGAGCCCGGCGCTGCGCTGCCCTGCTCGGAGCTGGCGGGGCGGAAGCTCAGGGTGGCCTCGGTGCTGATGAACCCCACGCTGTCCGAGGGCCTCGTGGAGGAAGGCCCCGGAGGTGTTGGCGTTTTTTTGTTTTTTTGTTCTCCCCCGGGTGGATTTAGAGGGAAGCCCCAACAAAAGCCATGGTTTTGTTTGATCCGTTTCGCGGTACCCCTTTTTTTATACATCTGCACCCAGTGGTTTGAGTGGGTTGCTTGCTTACAGGAGATCGCTGAACATGCCAAGTCCGCGTGGCGCCACACGCTCATCCGGCATGTATCTGGTTGACGTGTTCCATTCCGGGAGGGCACAGATCCCTTTTTTCCTTCCAGCTACATGCTGCTCGTCCAAGAACCCCCCCAAGTGGTGTTGATGCACAGCCAGGAGGGCGGCTTGTTGGTCAAGTCCTTGTGGTTCCAGAAAGCAAGCCTTTTTGTGATCTCAAGTCAAGTAGGCATGTCGTGTGACTACTTGGTCGCTTTAAAATGGGACTCCCTGGGTTAAATCATGGTCCTCGTTTCAGGAGGTTGCATTTTGGCCTTCTTGGCGAGATGACCCCGTTTTCAGGATGCCTCAGTACTAGTGTCATCATTTTGACTGTTTGCAGGAGTTGTTAAAGTCAGCAACTGGGACTGGGGCTGGTTTTCCTTTAGTGTGACTTGTGTGATGGTAAAATTGCAAGGAGAGCAGTTTCCAATGGTGGTGACCCCTTTTCAGGAGGTCCTACTAGTTGTGCTTGTTGTTTGTCACCATCGCAAGATCTGGAACTGGAGGCACACGCCCAGTTTGGCATCTTCCTGCTGCCGACAACCGCGGACCAGCACTTGCCGATTACATTTGGGCAGAGGTTTAAACTGGGCTGTTGGCAAAACCTAATCCAGTATCCCTATTGAAAAAACCACTACCAAGGGGATCGCTTTCATGGGCCAGGCTAAGGATCAAGGATTGCCTTGAACAGCGCCGATGGATGCTGGCGGGTTCCATCGATGTTTGGCTGGGCTCATTGATATCAACCGACAAGAACATGGAGTTTATGATATATCATATATCCCACATCGAGTTCGTGAGGGGAGGTTTCTTTGAGTATGGTTTGTCGAGGATCCATTGCTTGAAGATCATGTCATGTCCACATGACTCTAAGGCTCTGCCTCAAAAAGGGGCATGTACAGCTTGGGGACAGCTACGCCTGTTTGGCACCGCAGAATTGTTTCATGCCGTCGGATCTGCAAACAGGCAGCATGGCACTCGAGGCTGACTCAGCCTCCCGCATGAGTTGTTTTCAATTGGAGTTGTAACGACATGCGTTTGCTTGGGGGTTGGCAGGTTTGCATAAACATGGCCATGAGTACAAAGTGTTTTGTCGGTCTCTTAAGCAAATATGGAAGAGAACGCCCGAAGCTTTCAGCAGCTTCCATGAAATGCGAAGGACAGTGGAACAGGCCATCGCGTTACGCGCTTTCGGCGCAATTTTCGCCGTTCTCTGTGCATTGGTCGAAGACAAGGCACCAGCCTGACCCCAAAGCTGCGCTCAAAGGTAAAAAGATGAGTTAGACGGCGCGGGAGTTGCCTTTGCCAGAGGGTCGCACCATCGCAAGGGAGTACACAACAGCAGCAATAGCAACACGAATAAGTAAGACAGGGGACATGCCCAACAATAAGTAAGTGCGGCCTTCCGGTCATTTGGTTGTTTGCCATTAATTTGTGTTGGGTTGTCTCCTTGGAACCCTCAAGTTGTCATGGTGTTGTTTTTGCCGTTTGCCTGAATTGGCTGTGAAGGTTGGGACTTATCAAGGGGGAATAGTATAGGCAGAGATCCAATCCAAGTGCCTGCCGGCGCAAACGCATATGCACCGATTCAACAGTTGCACCAGGCCACACGCATGCCGAAGAGTGCTACGGCGTCCCTGGACAGTCGCTTCAGCGGGCTGGCCTGCTCCCCGAGCAACCTGTCCCTGGCAACTGAACTGCCCCGCGGCCGATGTTGGAATGCAGGGTCCTTAACAAACGGGAACTTGTCAGGGTTGCTTTGACGCGAAACTAAAGCAAAACCACCGATTTCGGGGTGGTTTGAGTGCTTCTTGGGGTCTGGCGGGTGTTGTGGGAGCCTGTTTGCGTCATCCGGGTCTTTTGGTGTTTGGTCATTTTTGGCGCCTGGTACTCCGGAAGGTCAATTGGTGTTTTTAGCTCCTGGTGCACGTGGTTGGTTCTTTTGGCGCCTGGCACGTTGTGTCTTGTTAGAAGTGGTGGTCAACTTGTGAAATTGTCTCTACATAGGGGACCCCTCAAAATGTGTGTTTTCCTTTGGTTTCTGATTGAACCAACCCTCCACTATGGGCCCTACAGGCAGGCAGTTAGACACCCGTAGGACAATAGATACAACCTACTTACGAAGTGGGTTGACATCTGTTTCTTGCGGCACCCGGCCGCGTCTCAGGGGGCCCTACATGCTGGGCCGCGCGAAGACCAGGAGCTACGGGCCCAACAGTTGGCCGAAGCTGTGCGCGACGGTGCAGGGCCTGGCGATATTGGCCAGCTGGCTGCAGTGAGGACAGAAAGCAAGAATTATGTATATATATAGTATAGTTAACAGATATAGAGAGACATGTTTGTGTGTAGCAGAACTATACAGAGATATGTGTTCTGGGTGTGTCTCTCTTGAGATTGGGTATGGTATGTTCCCTTTTTCGGGTGTGCTCTAAAGGGGCACGAAAAGGATGCATGGACAGACGGACGGATGGATGGACGGACGGATGGATGGACGGACGGATGGATGGTGATGATTAAACGACCACAATGAGACATAGAAGGCACTTTGGCCGCTCTTTCGCTTCGAGGCTCAGCCGGTGATGGTTGCAGCAAGGCTGCTCCTCGCCGAGCGCGTCTTGCTGCCCATGATCTTTGTGGCGCCTATGTGGCTCATAGCCGTCGCGCTTTGGCTCTCTATGCTTTGTTTGCGGTTTTGTTTAAAGTGAGTTGAGCAAGGCTAAACCCTGAACCGATTGTTTTTGTTAAACAAAAAGTGATTCCTCTTGGTTGTTCAGCCTTTTGGGCTTGCTTAACAGGTCGAGCATGCTTAAATTTGATATGTGTTTGGGCATCTGCGGACAGTCGGCTCCGCAGGTAGTGTTGGCTCGAGCCGCGTTTCAGTCAGAGCTGAGGTTCTGCTCGCCTTGCTGACCTTCGAGCAATTCCTCCGCATTTTGGCGCGGCAGAAATGGTTGAGTTGGGTGTGGGTTTGATTTGAGGCTCGGTACCCTTTTTCAGGTTGGTTTACAGGGAATCCAAAGTGAATGCTGCCATTTTGGGGACAAATCTCTGCTTTGACTCAAGCTCAGTTCGGAGCGATGGGATGGTGGGAACCATGAGTCATTCGGGGGGGTCGACATTCTAAAGAGGGAGTGATTTGATTGAGGTAGAATACTATTAGGGTCTGAAAGCACAATCGCATTATTTCATGGCACCGACTTAAACTGGTCTTGCAATACCGCACGGACCCCATGTGCATGATTGAAACTTTTCTTTAGTTCATTGTAGTTCGTTTGAATTCGCAGCTCAAGCAGATATGATCATGAATCAGCAGAGACAACTGCAGCCATCGCAAGAGCTTCTTGAAGTTGCCTCTTGAAGGCTGTGACCTATTTGTTCCTGTGATTGTGTGCGTACCCAGGATATCACCTCTTGGAGGCTACACCCTTCAGGAATTGCAAACGGTCTCTCTCATAGAGAGCGGTATTTATTCCACCACGGGAAATGGATTTTCACAGAATGGCCAGCCCCGGACCAAGAGAGCCCCAATAGATATGCCAAGTAGGCAGCGTCACACGGCTGACTTTGCTTGATCTACTTTGCAGGTGTCTTGGCAAGTTTCACGCAACTTGCTCGAGGTCTATTCCTCCTGGCGGCCATGAAGTGGATACTCATTGGCCGCTACCGCGAAGGCGATCACGACATTTATAGCTTCTTGCATGCAGTTGGCCGCGATTTTGGGCCGTGCCCTAGAGGTGTTTGCTGGCTAACAGCATGTAGCTCATGCAGGCGTTCAGAGGGGTCAAAGTCTTGCTGAGTTGACCGCGAAGCAGATGAAGGGAGCCAAGGGCCACCTGTGATTGGTATCGCCATTGTATTTCTTGGTGTGTGATGTTCAACTCTATGTCACGGAGATTGGTTGTACGATGCCGCGACGAGTTCCATATGGGCTCCGCAATGCTTGCCCCAAAGAGGCTTTGGCACGGTTGCTTAGAACTGCAACACTGACTATGCGTGCCCACCCACCCCCAACTTGGCCACACAAACTTGGCTATGAAGCGGGGTTCTACAGCCTACAGATGGGGTTTGCTGGGTACGACACATTATGCAATCCCATTGAATCTTATGACAAGCAAAACCGAGGCGGCCAAGCATTATTTTAGAGCTTCCGTGGCGGCTGGTATGTGTTAGGCGGACCTGCCAGGCTTATACAGGGAGGAGCACCACATACCTCACTGAGTGGTCGGCGTATCTGAATGATCCAGCCTTTTGTGGCTTGTAAGGATACAAGATCCAATACCTGCCGGTGCCAATAACGGTGCGGAGATCCATCGTATACTCTTTACATGATTTGGGGTAGCAGATTCTGACTCAAGCTTGGGCCTCCTGGACCTCCAAAAGGCATGATGTGATTGAAACCCACCAGCAAATCCCAGCGTTTTGAAGTGGGCATCTAGTGACCCCTGTTTAAGGTGAGTTGGTTGTCGCGTTTGCCATGACGCCTAACTTGAGGGCACCCAACAGGAACTGAGGCCTATTTCAGAGGAGCCAGGTGACGTGCCTTCTTCGAGGGTAGCCTTTGCAGGTTGGTTTGGGAAACCAACAAGGAAACCACAACTGTTTGAGTTGTGCGGTTTGTCTCAAAATAGGGCCCCCCAAAGACGTTACCTTCTTTTGAACCCCCCCAAAGACGTTAATTGTTGTTTGAACCACTCCCAAAGAGACGGTACCAACTCAGAAACGACACACCCACGTGTCCTTCCCTAGGTCCAACAAAAGGACAGCTCCAAATTTGGCTGGTGAGGCTTGTACTACCTTCAACATTGGCTGGTGGAGCACATGGCTAAGGGCACCCTGGTGGGGCAGAACCTCAGCTGCGATGGCGCCGGGAGTGTGTGCGCTGTCCATTCTTCAATATGGGGGCATACAGACCGGGCCGGGTACAAAGATGATTTTGGGGTTTGATATCACCGTTTGGTGGGCTCTTCGGGCTCATGGATGTCCAAAACAGAAGGGTTGAACGTGAACGATTTCCGCTTGCGTTGTTCGGGGGGGTGGTTTTGGGGCGTCCATTGTTCAATCGGGGTGGTGCAATCTTGGTGGTGCATCGTTTGAGGGGGTTGTCTCAAAACTTACCGTTGAGTTGGCAAGCTTTAAACCTTTCGATGGATGTTTCCTCACCACTCAAGTCGAGCGCCAAAAAGGGCAACCTTTATTTGGCCAGTCAACTCAAAAGGTCAGAAAATTGGGAACCACCGGAAAGCGAGTTTGTTTGGGCGAACCCCACAAAACGGCCGATGGCTGTGAATTCTTAAAGCCTACGTAAATGATGTCCAGCAAGAGTCGCCAATTGGAATTCTGGGACTACAGTGACTTCAGTGAAGGCCTAGGGAAGCTGTTGGGACTCGCTATGACCGTCTTGGTAAACTGACATACATATATATATACACATAATATAGTTGTATAGCCATTGTAGTCGTGTAGCCGCATTGCTGCCAGGGGTTCGACGGCAGTGGTCACACGTAAATGGAGACCTCAGTGTGTGGTGTGTCGGTGATCTTACTGACAAAGGTTGCTAGGGGTCTTTTTGGTCAACTTTTCGGAGCATCTTACATCGTTGCCCTTGACCAAAATGAAGAATGGGTGTAGGGTTGACTGTTGACCAGTTTTTGGTGATTCCTGCAAATCACCGCCCCCAGCTGGATGCGTCGTGGAGAGCTCTATGGGCGATCGGGACTCTTGCTGGACAACACTAACAAGAGGGGCGTTTGAAATCCCGGCACTACCAGCTGCGAGCTCACCCACAATTACTCACTTGTGGGCAGTCCTGAATTATAGTTCCAAATTAGTGCAAATCCCTCCCAAAGGAATCTCGTTTGAAGCTGGCATCCAATCGTGAAGCTTCAAACAGAGCAGCGTGGTGAGTCCATTGCCAAGGGCGGCACATCAGGGGAGCAGCATCTCCTTCCTCTTCGTGCGCAACCTCGCTTTGAAGGTGTGTGGTTGATGCAAGTCTTGCAAGTTTCAGGGAATTCTTGCGGAAAGACGGGTCTCTCTCAAAACGCAAAGTCTCAACATCAACAGAAATGGGCCTTGTAAAATGAGCTGGTTCTTTGTGGTTTTCCTTACAACCCTCCAGAAGGGTACACTCAAGAACGCACAACCCTGCAATGTTTGACCCAAATCAACCTCTGGTTGCAAACAGGGGGGGTTGTAAGTACGTGCTGTTGGTTAGGGTTCCGACTATATGTCCTTCTGAAGCGTGTTTTCTCTTCTTCAGCTCGTGGCCCGATTCAAAGTCAGCCGGAGTGCTGTTGAAAGGGGACTTGTGGGGACTCCTGTTCACTTCTAGGTGAGCTTTCTTGATTTGTTGGTCCTGTTGACTTTAAGTCGTTGTTTCCTGCGTTTGGCTTGTCCAGGCACCGACGGTGCTTGCTGTTGAAGCATGAGTGGACGGCCCTACATCAGCACATCGGTTGTAGTGCAGGTTCCTTTTGTAGGAGCCCTTTTGGGCTTGGTCACAACTCGCGAAAGGGTTTCTCATGTTCGCTTGTCAACGCACTTTCGAGGTTCAATGAAGCCCTTAATTTAAATCTTGAGCACACCACTACTGCTTGGTTGTTGAAATAGCCCAACCCTAATTCAACCCTAGCCTGCTACTGCAGCCCCTTACTCTACCCCAGTATATTTTTCTCAACCCCTGCCCCTTACTCCGCAAAGTGCACGGTTCCCTCTACCTCACCTTTTGGGCCCTCACCTTTTGGGCCAGTTTCCTTTCAGCAGAGTGATGCTTCAAGGTAACCAACCATTCAACTAAGCAAGCAAGCAAGCAAGCAAGCAACCCACCCGCCCGCCCGCCCACCCACCCACCCACCCACCCACCCACCAACCTTGCAACCATTCAACCATTCCATCATTCAACCATTTAACCATTTAACCCTTCAACCATTCAACAATGCAACCAGGCAACCCACACGAACCATGCCACCAACCCGCTAACCCACCCCAACCCAATGCAAAGAACTCGGAGAAGTGCCAGGCCTTGGGGGCCAACATCCACTCCACCGCGGTGATCACCGCCCGCTGCGTTGCCTATGACTTGATCAGCGTGGACGCGCTTGCTACGGTGCACGGGCCGAGGCGGGAGCCTGAAACCAACTGGCTGATGAAACATCTTTTTTTGGGCCCAAGGGGCCAAGCGGCCTGAGCAATTAGATCGTTTGTTGTGGGGGACTTAGATACCAAATGAAGTCATGGTCATGGGATATGCATGTGCTGAATTGTTGAGCCCCTTATGTTAGATTAATTCCGTGTGGTGGTGGTTCCTTTCAAGAGCGAACCCATCACGCTACTCCACCAAGTTTACTAATCCGGCAGCAACGGTGAACGTTACACACTTGTTCAGTCGCACCCTTTAGACTCTTTCAGACTTTGTCAGCTCACAATGCCCAACCGCAGCTGGGGCAGGCCGGGGTGTGCTTTGGAGTCTTGTTGTGTGGGGGCCCAATCCTGGAATGTTTGTGCCAGCCGCATGGTCAGCCATGTCTCACCAAACCAAGTTGATTGGTTGTACCAGCGTCCATGGGCAACTGGGCCATTTATGACCAGGGAACTGCCTTTTGAGAAGGTACTGAAGGGAAGATGAGATAGATGGCATCGCATCGACCATTTACTGTAAAGGAATTCCCAGTCTGCCACACACGCACACAAACAGAGATTTCTGGGGGATCGCAACGCGGGATTTCTTCACTGGTCGATTTTGGCTGGGGAATCACGCTATAAAGGGGATCCGCATCAATTTCCCATTAGTTTCCGCTTTGAATAAATCTGGACGACCAGGCTACTCTGGGGACTCTGGAAATTATATACCCTACTAAAGGGATTGAATCCGAAGTGCACACCAGAGAGTTTCGTGATTGCAAATGGCCCCACAAGCCAGGGCGAACGACGTTAGATGAGAACACTCCCAATGACGCATGGTTGCTCGAAAGGAGTGCAGCTGATTGCGCCCCCAAGTGAGTTTCGGGGGATTTTCTGTTGAATGTTTGGTTGACTCGTTCCTTCTCGCAGCTGAGAATCTGTGGTATCAATTAGCAGGCATGGCATGATTTGGTTGTGTTGTTCTTGTCGCTGGCTTGTTTTGCATCCTGTTATCTTTTAGCAGATAGCGCCGGAGCCAAGAGCCTCAGGCACCTGACGGCGGTAAACTATGGGGAGCGTCGCATGGTGCTTCGACCCGTGCCTCGGAGTCTTCTTTGTGGCAGGGCGACGTGGGGGAGGACTATGCAATGCACCAACCCCCCGCCCACAAACATGCAAGAAAAAATGTCATTTGATGCGAAATGTTTGCTGCGCGCGCATGTAGGTGGGCCGTCCTTGTGTGAAAGGGAGTGTGTGTTTAAGCCTAAGCTACAATCTCGCCCCTGATTTCCTTGAATTGATTTTTCTATGAACACCATTGTCAACAGTTTGGACTTTTGTTAGCCAACTATAGTTGGGGAGGTATTGGATTCTGCATGCGGTGGGTGCATGCTAAAAGAGACATGATCCCTTTTTTGTAGCCACCATGAAAGGCAATACAGCATGTCACAAGAGTTCCAAGGATACGGTCCCCGGCCCTATTTGTTGACCACCTGCCATGTCTTGTAATTTATTGGTTGCTTTGGGTTCACTATGTGGTTTTCCTGGGCTCACAGTGTATATCATGTCATGTCCTGAGGCGCGAGGATACACAGAATTACACAGATTCTGAATTGCATGTGACGTCACAAGCACACGAAGGCAGATCTGAGTTGATCTGAATCTGAGTCCAGATAGGTTGTGGCTGGTTGTTGGCCAGCCCTGGTTGGACCATTGGAATTCGCCCTTTGTGCGTTCCATTCAAAGAGAGTTCCTGTTTTTGCTTAACACGCAAATGAAACGTGCGTTGGGTTGGTGAACACGCTGTTCTCTCCACAGGGCCGATCAATTGGTGTTGCCATATGATACCACAGTGGACACTTGGGTGGCAGCGGGTCGGAGTGATGGAAGAATGTTTCTTTGCGGTGCCACTAGCAGACTGAATTAATCAATACTGTAGACGCAGTGGTTGGTGGTGAGCCACCGTATTGTTTGGGTCTTTTCTTTAGATAATTAATTGTCTTGCGAATTTGGGTTAACAGCGGTTGACAAAATGGAAGGGGCCAAAACGGGGTCTTATGCTTTTTGACTACAGCCCACATTTGAAGATCGCGCTCACGCATGTAGCTTCCAGGCTAATGCTCAAGGAGCACATTTCCCCGCCCCCTTTGTATGCGGCAAGCAGTTTTGCCTGACCACCTCCCTCAGCATGATACTGTAGTAGCGGGAAACGGAGTTCCGGCCGGTTTTGTGTGAGACCAACGTAAAGTGACATACAGCAGTCATGTGGAATCTCGCGTTGGCGTCTCGGAAAGGACCCATTATGTTACTAACCTCCTGCGTTGCCTGCTGGTTGAACTGGTGAGTCAACGGACTCATTCAATGGAACTCAAACTATGTCGAATCGTTTGCCGTGCATTTGTCAAACGTTCCTTGTTGGGCCCGATATCGTGCCTCAAAAAAGGGCAATCTTGCTGACCCCAGGAAGTGTAGGCTTCCTGGGTGCTAAATTCCCCAGTTCAACACTCTCCGCAAGGCAGCCAGAATGGAAGATTGGATTGAACATGCCAAAACACCAGGCCGGGTACTAGTAGCTGAAAAGCTCGTATTGTTATCACGTCGCTCTTTTCACTTTGTGCACATGAAGCCTTTTGTTGATCAAGAGAAAAAGAGCCCCACTGCGTCTTCGCGGGTTCGAGGGTTATGAGCCCAACGCCATGAGTGAAGGCTCGATGCAGACGCCTTCCGACAAGGACCTCCAGCTGGCTCTCGTGGCTCCCCAGGAGGAGAAGGCGGAGCACCCTGAAGGTGCACCTCAGGCCTTGGGGCCGCAGATGAATCCCTTCTGGTCGCAGCGGGCATGTGATGAAGCCATGCTGAAGGCCATGAGGCCGAGCACGCTCCCGGAGGACCAGGGTGGAGATACCCAGGTGGCCGTGCAGGCCAGCCCGCCCAGGGAGATCACTGGCGCGGAGCTGGTGAAGGGGGTGGTGGAGGAAAATGCCAGGCTTTGGCACTACATCAACCAGATGCAGAAGACCAAGGATCGGGACTACCAGTCCATGCAGGCCTCCTTCAAGGAGAAGTTGGTCGGGGCCGCAATGAGTGGCCCGGATGCTGCTGGACCCGGTGCTTGGTGGGCTGAGGCCGCCGGTGGAGGTTGGCCGCAGTGGGCATGGTCTGGGGCACAGAGCTCTTCAGCCTTGCCGGCTTGGGGTGGAGATGGCCTTAGAATTGGGTCGACTGCCAAAAAGGCACTTCTGGACCTTCTAGGTGGAGTTCGTGGATGGCCTCCACAGGCCGCTGGCGATGACCCGCATGGAGCTGGTGATCAAGGACAGCCGGATGTACAGGCCTTTGGTTCCGCCCGCGCTCATCATCCTGGGCATCAACAAGGGCAAGGTTCAGGTGTTCCTCATGGTGCTGGTTCTAGCGGCAATGGAGCCGGTGGTGCTGGGCCGAACGGCAATGGAGCCGGTGGTGCTGGTCCTGGCGGCAACGGAGCCGCTGGCGGGGCTAGCGGGGGATATGACGGCGGTCCTGGCGGCAATGGAGCCGGTGGATTTCCGGGTGGTATGGGAGGTGGACCTCCTGGCTATCCCGGAGGTGGTGGTTTCCCGGGTGGTCATTTTCCTGGAGGAGGTCAGGGTGGTTCCGGTGGAGGGATTCCTGATCATCCCGGAGGTGGCGGTTTCCCGGGTGGTCATTTTCCTGGAGGAGGTGCTCCTGGTGGTGGGCCTGGAGGCCCACCTGGCGGTCCCCCAGATGGTCATGGAGGAGGGCTTCTTGGCGGTCTTCATGGAGGAGGCGGTCAACTTCCTGGATGGCTGAACGGGGTGATGGCAGGTCAGGAGGCGGTGAGAACGGTGGAGCTGCCGGAGTTGCAGGACCTCGCAACAGCCGAGCAGGACATGGGGCCTTTGCTGGCGGGAGATTGGATGATGATGATCTCGCCCTTCATGTCCGACCTCTCGTCATCTTCGTCTGCGTGGTGGCAGGAGGTGCTTCGGGTGGCGAATGAATGCTACCAGCGGTGGCTCAATGCGGATCCTCTAGAACGTCTTCGGCTTCTTCCGGAGGCGCCCTTAGCGTTTTCGAGGGCACCTTGGCTACGCATTGAGCAGCGGGGCCAAGTCGCCTTGCTGAAGGCGGTGCCTGAATCTCTACGAGGTGAACTGATTGCCCAGCGGAGGGCGGACAGCATCTCCATCATCTTCAAGGTCTTGAAGACCTACCAGCCTGGAAGCCTGGCCGAGAGGAGTTCCCTGCTTAAGCAGCTGGTTGACCAGCGCATCCCCTCGGGCATCGGCGAATGGCTGTCTTCTTTGAGGACGTGGCGAAGGTGGCTAGTGCGGGTGACGGAACTACGCATTCAGCCTCCTGATCCAGTTCTTCTTTTGGCCACTCTGGACAAGTTCGCGGTGGTCCTGGGAAAGATTTCTGCCCAGGTGTCGTTCAGGCTGCAGATAGCTCGGGCAGCACTACGGGTGGACGTGGCACCATCGCCACATGGAATCCTGCAGTTTGCGGACACGCTGCAGGCGGAAGGAGAGACGGTCTACCACGGAGGTGGGGCGTCGATCAAGGAGGCTGTGAAGGCCAAGACCATGGAGGTCAAGGACACGCCCAAGGCCTACGACCGGGACTACAAACCTCGGGAGCCCGACAGGGAGAAGGGCAAAGGCAAGGGCAAGGGGAAGAGCACTGCGGCCTGCAGGTACTTCCTCTCGGAATCAGGTTGCAAGAAAGGGCAGGCGTGCGGCTTTGCTCATGAATGGGGGGAAGAAGGCAAGATTGGACGATGCTGGCGCTGTGGAAGCAGTCAGCACATGAAGCCGGACTGCCCAGTGAGGGAGGTCACGAACCCCAAGGTGAAGAAGGAGAATTCTCCGGTGAAGGAGAAGGACAAGTCCGAGTTTGAGGAGGTGGCAGTGGAAGGGACCAAGGTCACTATTTTGTCGCCCTCGCCTTCGGCGGCTCCACCTACGGAACAGGTGAATGGAGAGCTGGTGAAGGTCCTTCGGTCGGCTCGCTCCATGGAGGAGTTTCAGGATGCGGTGCCCATCCAAGTGGAGTTGGCGGCGGGTGAGGTGACCTTGAGGCAGGACCCCGCCACGGGCACGTTGCTGACGGACTACCCGGTCCAGACGATCATTCCCCTCGGGAGGATTGCGCGCCTGGGCTACAAGATCTTGTGGCAGCACGAGGAGTTCGAGCTAAGAGACCCTCGGGGCGTGGAGATCCCGGTGGAGCTTGAGCTGGGCTGTCCCACAGTGGCGCAGGAGGTGGCAACGGAGCTCATCGAGCGCCTGGAGAAGGAGGGAACGGAAATGCAGAGGCGCCTCAAAGCCCTGAGGGCGGGGGAGCCGGGGGAGGTCAACTCCAAGGTTTGGAGGTGGATGGTCGACATCAAGGAGTTGTGGCCGGACCTCTCGGATGAGATGATTGTGAGGATTGTGCCTTCCGGCCAATGGGAAGGTGCGGCTCTGCCCTGGAATAGGAGGCAGAGGAAGAAGTTTTTGTCGAGCCCCTCCGTCATCGTGCACTTGTTCTCTGGGCCGGATCAGAGCTGGTGGAGGAAGATGATGGAGACCTCATCCCGGGTCATGCTGTGCGTGGATCGGGAGGTGAGCAGCGGCCAGGACTTGTTGCTGGACCAGGTCGCAGGATTCTTGGCGGAGGTATGCGAAGGAGGTGCAGTTGATGCCCTGCTTGGTGGACCCCCTTGCCGTACAGTGTCGAAGCTTCGGCATCAACGACCCGGTCCACCGGTTCTGAGAGCGCGGCACGGGCCAGAGAGGTTTGCGCTGGACTGCCTCAGTGAGGCGGATCGAGAGCTGGCCCTCAATGATGCGACGCTGTGGTTTAGGCAGCTGTGGTTGTTCTCCCTGGCTCAGGGAGCGAGGAAGGAGAAGGTGCGCTTCCTGAAGGAACACCCTCGAGATCCTCAGGAGTACAAGGCGAAGTCCGACAGCACCGACTACCCGAGCTTCTTCGCCTGGCCTGAATGGGCCTCCTTCAAGAAGAAGTTCGACATCAAGGAGGTGAAGCTAGACTTGGGTGGCTTAGGCCACGAACGCCGCAAGCCCACTACCTTGGGCACGAACATCAAAGCCTTG